TGATTCAAGTAATATGTACCCACAAGGAGCGGAAGGAGTTAAGAGAGCATCAATCCTGGAAGTGTGGCCTCCAGCCCATGCAGATCCTTGAACTGGGGGACACCACCACTACTTAGAAACTTTTATGACAACTTAACAGAGAAACTTTACTGTTGAATTTAAAAATAAAACAACAAAACTGGGCTTGTATTTTTTTATGATTTTTTTATTTCACTTTTATTTAGTAATTCGATTTCATTTAGTAACACTTTTATTGTATGTCACAAAAGTATGTATGTAATGCATTGGAAAAATAAATTTCCTCACAGATGATTTGAGAAACACTTTATATGTTGGGTAAAAAGTGTTGCTGTTAACATTAAGTATGTAACAATTAAAAAGAAATGTCATGTTATGGACATTACAATTTTGTTTTAATAAGAGGCTATTATGGTGCCTGGTTGATTACGTGTTATCAGATTAGTACCCTTAGCCAGATTGACAGAGTTGTTTTATTTATTTTTTCTCTGGGTTTAAGCAACTTTTAAATATTGAATGCTATTTAATGCTTCAGGGCGTGACAACAGAATTCTGTTTAAATGGCTAAATCATTGCTGGAGCATTATTTAAAGGGGAGAAAAAGCAATCCCATAGAAACATGTCGATTAAGTTCCTGTGCAATCGAATGGAAATGTCAGGATCTTCCTTCACTTAAGATGCAGGGACCAGTGCACTGAGGCATAAGAAAAGAGCTTGATTTACAATTTGAAGGAAAACCAGCAGTAAAATAATTGAGAGCTGGAAAGGAATCTCACTCCTGCCAAACTGCTTTTCTCCATGCATGCTCCATCCATATAGAGATGTTTGGTTTGTGCATATTTTCTTTCCTCTACGAGTATTTCATACTGTCAGATTAGAACTGTTTCTCTGCTGTGATCAGCAAAAGAGACTATCCAAGTTACCGAGCACTGGATTGTGCCTGGAGCCTTATAAATAAAAAATTGTTGAATTTTTTAAGTGCAAAGGTGATAAGCTGGTTGTTAACGAGAGCATTCTTGGTGCCTAAATTGCAAAAATATGGGTGTCTTTTAAATAAACTTTAATTTGAGTTCATGGGAATCAAACATGTGAAGGTACTTTGCAAATTGTAAAGAGCTGGTAAAATATTTGTTAACAACAACTACTACTACAATTATAAGTTGTGACAGAGATTCCATGAATATCAACCTTGATGTTGCTTATGGCTTCTTTTCCCCAAGAAGTATAGAGAAAGGAGGCCTCTTGCCTAGAAGTAGTTCTCTCTAGAACTTAATCTTATATTCATGGATACATAAATAAAATGTGTGTTGTATTGTCAAACCCTCGCTTAGCTGGTTCTCTGAGTCATATAAATATTTAGTCGTTTATTTATAATTTTTGTAAGTTAGTGACAAAATTTGGCCTAAAAGTTTGGTTCTTATACCATTGTTTTGTCCATGGAAGCACAGTCTTATGCCTTATACAAGAGCAAGAATTTAAAGATCAAAAATATCTTTATATTAAAATATCGAGGGCTCTTCTTTTACCTTTTCTTATGCACATTAGAAAATATTTTTGGTTTGCTTACAAGAAATGCAAACCTAACAGATTTATTTTGAAAAGTGCCTCATGTGAGCCTCTGACATATTATGAGTTGGAATCAAAATTCTAATGCTCTCCAAACGTGAGGCATAAAATAGCACTTTGGGGGAAGAATAGAGGTATTGAAAAGTAAACAGAAATAGACAATGCAAATTGGGTTTGAGCCACCAACATACCTGTTTTGAATTTAAAATTGGCTAAAATTTAAAGTTAAATTTGGCTAAAACATACCAGAGCCAGTTATACCCTGTGTACCTAGAAGAGGATGAAGATGAATATGAAGGGAGTTTTGATTAAAAAAATTTTTTTTTTTACAGAATCACAATCTCTAAGCTCTAAAATTGATAGTCTGTGGTTTTCCCGGCCAGACATTTGTCCCAGGCGGACCAGGTCTTCCTAATGATCAGCACGTGCACTACCGTGTTTTTCTCTCATACCTTCAGTTTATATCAAGAGGCCGCTTGTTCTATGAATTAAAAAAAAAATGTGCCTTTGTCATACCATGAGCCTAAGTCATACCATGGTTCTGCATTGCTCTGTGACCAAGTAGGAAAATTTTAAGAGCAATAAATGAGCAACAAATGATAGAAGTTTAAATTACATGTAGTTGTGCACACACATGCATGCACACACACATACATACGTGCACACACACACACGCACACACCCATTCACATCCACATTCACTCTAGAAACCCTCCTACCTAAGGTGATAAAGATTGGTCAGTAAAAGCAAATAATCCTAGAAAAACATGTGATGTGTATTGAAATCAAACATTTTAACTTAAAATACATCTATGTGCCTTTATTTCCCCACCTTCTGATGTAAAGGTCCCCCCGCCTCCATCAAGTAGATTTCCAAATGCCTTCCAAAAGCAAGTGAGGCTTTTCTTGACTAGAGGTCTGATGATTAGAGGGCCTCCACCATTCTTGCATAAACTACACTCTTCAGGGATCACCTGTCATATCCAGCTCACGTTTCTTTAAGTGCAGTGAGTGTGCAGGCCCCTGTGTACTATCTGTGTATAGACTCAGTCTGGACTCTTAAGATTTTGTTTAAAAGCTTTTGCTGTTCTCTTAGCAAACCTAACTTGGGGCTTTGTTTAGTAGTCCCCCTTTATCTAGTCTTTCCAAAGGATTCAATCTAGTTTTTATGGAAAGCATTCTCTTTTTGCACTCACCTTCCATTGGCTTACATATTATTTCACTAGATTTTATAATTCTTATAACAAATGGTACTTGTATAAAGAGCTTTGGAAGAAAACCGATGCTTGGAGGATTCAAATATAAGGGTTTCAAAGAGATATGCACAGGCATAATAGAGAGTTACCTATTAGCTTCCAACTTACAGGATCCACTGACCACGTGTCACTAAATTTTGCAGAGATTAGAGATGATGTTTACTTAACTCTGTTTTTCTAATCTCTAAAAAGCTCAGAATAAAATCTGTGACACATTTCCAGATATTTATAGAACATGATGGCTCACATTTTTCCCCAGCTTGATCTCTGACTTCATCTTCTTTTTCTACATTTTTTTTTCTTTCACTGAAGCTCATATATTTTCTATCTGTCTCACACTCTGAGAACTCCTTTCCTTTGCTAGAATGGCAGTGTGATTGTGCTTAATTGGTGTTTGTTTTGCTGTTGTAGGAATAGTGTCGTCCATGCTCTGCAAGGTTTATGTACCAAAATTAGCACATAAGGAAAAATATACTTAGTTAAAATTATCCTTGAACATCCTTCGAGAAGGCTCTAAGGCTGAGTCCAACACATCATATCTCCAGGGATCTAAAACTCCCAACTTTTCCATAAGTTTTAGAACAGATTGAGATTATGTTGAGTGTCAAATGAAGTCATTTGGCATGTCTTCAAGGGGGTATCTGACAAAACATAGGTATATTTAAAAAATAGAGAGGTGTGGGATGGCCACGCTCAGAGAGAGGCTCCTGGGAACTGATATTGATGCCTGTCACCTAAGTAATTTTCAAGCACATTGTGCCTGGTGTTATTTATGTATGCATTTCTCCCTTCTGGATTAGCTAAATCTCATCTTTCTGAGAAGGCGAAGACAGGAACACATTATATTTCTTTTCCACATATTCAATAGAACGTGCTCAGAAATTTCTAAGGAGTTAAAATAAAATGAAAATAGAAAACCTTTGCTTGCATTTCTAAGCCAGTAAAAGTACACTCTTAATTGTTTTTAAAGTTTATAACCTAGTTCTTGGGTGGTCATACTACTGATTTGAAAATGGACTCATTTTCCCATGTGGTTCTTAAATTGGACTAATTTCTTCAAACATTAAAATTTTAGAAAAATCTGTGCATTTGGATTATCAGGGCCCATTCTCATGTTAGCTGGAAATCTTTAAAATATGGGCTTCCTAATTTTATTGGTAACTTTACACCTCTTAATAACAGACAGAGTATTTATATTCCACATATGTCCTATTAATAAACTAATAAACTGTTAGTCTTCAAAATAGAACTGCACATTATACCTGTGTTAGTGTTTTTCTTGGTAGACTATCAATGCAAGGCTGTTATTTTGTGGGTTTTTCCCCCCATTTATGACTAATTTTTTTTATTCGAGAGTTTATTCAAGAATTTATTCAAGAAAAACTAGAGTATTTTTTTAGTTGAGACAAATTTGGTAATGTAACATTTGACGCTTTTGAGACTGTGACCCCTGAGGATACCTGATCTGTTTTTAATGAAGCTGCATTATGTAATGGTTTAGGTGGCAGAGTATGGGCTTGAGTGAAACTGCCTGGTTTTAAATCTTGGCTCTCGCACTTACTGAACATGGGAACCTCATATTATTTACATAATCTCCATGCGCCTCAATTTCCTCATCTACAAATGGGCGTATTAATAGTATGGAAAATTCTTGGCCTAAGTTACTTTTTTTTATATACCGAAGGACTTTTCAACAACCTTCTGCCTTTTAATGCTCAAACTCACACTATTTCTTTTTCACTCCCCCACATTGCTGGCCCTCAGGAAGACTAAAATGAAATGCTGATTTCATAGAAAATAATTTTATGTATGTGATAGATCTGGTTCACTTTTTCAAATATGTTAATGGCTTATTTAATGGGTTATTGTGAAGGCTAACTGAATCCATGTATCTAAAGCACTTGAATCGGTTCTCACATGTCGTAAGTTCTCAGTAGATGATGATGATGATGATGATGATGATGATGATGATGATGATTACTGTCATGATGATGATTATTATTATTATTATTATTATTATTGTTACTGTTGACCCTGTTGTGTACATGGGAATAAAACCCACAGCAGTGGATGCCCAGTAAATATCAAATGGCTGGGTCCAATGAGTCACGATGCCTCTGTGTGCTGGCCTTTCACCTCCCCCTGTCCTCTCACATGCAGGTGGCCCCAGCCATTAAGGAGAGGATGATGAAGAAGGGAAGCCTCATGCTGGGCTACCAGCCCCACCGAGGGAAGGTCAACTTCTTCCGCCAGGTGGTCATCAGCCCTCAAGTGAGCCGCGAGGACATGGACTTCCTCCTGGATGAGATCGACCTACTGGGTAGAGACATGTAGCTGTGGCTTTTGGTTCCCCAGAGGCATGGGTCCTGTCCTGGGGAAAGTTACAGATCCAGGGCATCTGGGGACACATAGGGAATTGCAGCCCTTCTGGAGAGAAATAGGAAACGCGCCCCATCCAGGCCCAGCAAAACCAGAATGCTAAGCGTTAAGGACTCTGTAGCTCCTTGGGCACTACTGTTGCTATAAAAATATGTTTTCTCAAAGATTGTCCCGGGGACAGAGAATTAAAGAGAATTTAGTAAGTACTATGTAGGGCCCGAGTTCTAAGCTTTCATTGCTCTTTAAAGAACATACAAATTAACAATTTTAAGCAGTTGGTCTCAAAGTGGTCCCTAGACCAGCAGCATCAGTATCACTTGGGAACTTTTTAAAATGCAGATTCTCAGCCCCACCCCAGACCTACTGAATCAGAAACTCTAGGTGTGGGGCCCCGACTTCTGTATTTTAAATAGCCCTCCAGGTGATTCTGAGGCAAGGTAAAATCTGAGAACCTTATAATGTTTAATGAAACCTTGTAATGACTGAATCATCGCTGTGATGTTTTGCAGCAAAGGAATGAATATCTAATATGTCAGTGGTCCCTGAGCTGGTCTTTGAAAATATAGCTGTGGCATCAGTAGCACAAATGTTTAGAGGCATCAGAGAGATATCAAAGCTATTTTTTAAAAGAGAAACTATATTAGATGTTTATTTTCTAAAGATGTATCTTTTATGCAGACTGAATGGTTATTCTCAAAAGTTAAAATGAACTATTATCTATTCTAAATTATTTAGAGATAAGAATAAAAGACAAACATTTTAGCGTGGCCCTTTCAATCAAAACAATAGTCTTAATTCACTTCTCAAAATCATTGTGTCATGAGTTGGGCATAGACATTAGAAATATGTCCCTAAATATGTACCTCTTTTAACTTGAGGGGCCTATTTCTTTGCTTGCTCTCTGCTTGTAGGAAATAACCAGAATGAAGTTCAGGGTGATACAACATTCCTTGTCTCAGGCTTTGAAATGTATAGACGATTAAGTGGTTTATATTGGGGCAGACAGTCTGGGAATTAGAAACCTTCCAGTGTAAACACCTCCATTTCTCTTTGGAGTGGATGATTGCAATTCTGTCTCTGATCATGGTCCTAGAGTTCTAGGAGAATCTTATTTAATTAAGAAATAAACAGAATTCAGAGTTATGGGTTCAGAGTTCAACGAGGTAAAATTATGAATCTAATTAGAGCTCTGATTTGGAAAGCAAATGATTGATGAGTGTTCAAGTATTAGACTTAGCACATTCAATAATCTTTTGATACTCTATTATTAACTTATGTCAGTTAAATTTTGAAGAGTAAAGAACAGATACGTACTCTTTGCTTTTAGTTCATATTTTTATTTTGGGGTGTATGGTTTCTTAATATCTCCATTGGTCAAAGAACATTTTAATCTTCTCTGAATCACTTCAGTTTCTGGTGATAGGTATTTGTGTGTGTGTTTTGCATTTCTCATTGCCTTTTTGTCTTAACGTTTTTCTAAAATGTTCCTGAAATTGATGTTTGCAATAATTTGAGTTTCATGAAATAAAAAGCAACATTAGCACAAACTTAGTGGTTTTTTTTTTTTCCTGTCATCTCCCCTTTACTGAGCTGTACCAATACATTTTTGAAGCGAATTGGGCTTGGTTGGCATTTTTGCTAAATAATTGAGAGAGCAGGTTGCAAGTTACTTTTTAGTTTTTTGATTAAGTGGAGAAAACAGAGCGCAGTATGGATTTACTTCTTGTCTAGTCTTTCTTCATCTACTAGGCAAGCTGTGGGAAACGCAGTAGCCACAGATCAGCTTCAGGTGTGCCTTTTCTCTTTTTTTTTTTGAGAGATGAAAGCTCCTTGATCAATAAAAAAACAACCGCTGTCAGGTACTTTGAAAATTCCATTTTTTTCCCCTTAACATGTCAAGATATAGCACACCCAATCAGGTATTGACTGAATGGTCAAGAATTTTTTGATAAATGGTTAATTATAATTTTTTTACTCATTAAACACATTGATAGTTGTGCCTACTATGTTCTGAACAGTTATTTTGGTTTCTGGGGATATGCAGTGAATACAATAGAAAAAGTCCTTGCTCTTCTGAAGCTTTCAATCTAGTTGGGACACCAACAAGTAAACGTGTAACAAGTCAGGTGGTAATAAGTATTTTGAAGAAAAAAAGAGTGAAGGGAATAGTATAAAAGTGAGAGCAAGGTGTGCTGTTGGAGAAAAGTTGGTTTGTCAGGGTCTCTCTGTAAGGTACCATTTGGATGAAGACTAAGGAAGTGAGAGAGAGAACCATGTGAGTGTCTGGGGAAAGAGGATTCCAGGTGAAGGGTATGGTAAGCCAAAAGCCTGAGGAGCTGCATTCGTGATACTTCTGAGAATCAACATGGAGGTCAGTATGGCTTGAGCAGAGGGAAGTGTGAGTGGCAGATGATTAAGTTAAAGAAATATCTAAGAGTCAGTACCCTGGGCCCTGTAGCTGGGGACTTGGAGTTAGATGGAAACACATCGGAGAATATAAATAGGGTATTGAGTGGCTCAACTTATATTTTAGAAGGATCACTGTAATTACTGTTTGGAGGATAGGATATATGTGGGCAAGAGTGGACTTGGGGTGACCAAATCAGAGGCAACTTTAACAGTTCAAACAAAAAATCATGATAGTTTATACTAGGGTAATAGTGAAGGAAGTGGTATAATGAGGTTCGATTCTAGAGGCACTTAAACGTAAAGTTGTTAGGGTTGGTTAATAAGAGTGGAGTGTTCAAAGAGAAACGAGAAATTAAGAGTAGTTTCATATACTTTTGGCCTGGGCAATGATAAGAAAGGAATTGCCATTTACTGAGATGAGAACTTCAGGAAGAATAGTTTTACTTGGTTTTGGTCATGGTAAATTTGAGCTGTCTGTAAGTCAGCCAACCAGATATAAATAATTACTTATGAGTCTCAACTGGTAGAAGGAAGTTGGGGCCAAATATATAAATTTGAAAACCATAATAATAGAGGTTTTATTTCTAATTTTGTGATTAGATGCAATAATCTAGAGTATTTGTAGACATAAAGGAGAAGCAGGCCAAGAATTGAGCCTTGGGACAACAGCTCAAGATGAAAGGAGCAGCCAATGAGACAGAGAAAGAACCGAGAGAGTGGTTGGCAGAGGCCAAGTAAAGAACCATTTTTTAAGAAGGAGGGAGTGATCATTCATATCAAATCCTGGGGATGGGTCAAGTAAGACCTGAGATTAACTTTAGAATTAACAATGTAGAGGTCATTTATTTGTTGAAATTTTATTTGCTAAAAATAAGCATTTAGAATATAATTTTCAATATTCTAGTAGCCATCAGACTGTGTTCAATCAAAAGACTTTTAAATTCCTCTTCTGGCTTTTGATATTCAACAATGGTTCTTTATTGAAAAAGATTCAATAACATTAAGGGATTTAAACTTAAGGAAGTTATCACATTGCTAACTGGATCAGAGCATGAGGTTCAACAGCATATAACAGAAAACTCAAATAATTCTGGTTTCATTAGAGTGGTTTATTTTTCTTCATTCAAAAGAAGTCTCAAGGTGGACAATCCAGAGATGATGTTTTACATCCAATTACCCTGTAAGCAGATATGGACAAGGATTTGAGAGCAAGCAGCCTATACATTTCCTGGGATTAAAATGTTCGGGGATTAAAGTGAGACAGAGAAGGGAAGGAAACCAGCATAGTGAACGTTAATGAGCAAATTTAATGCTGTGAACAACAGAGGCTGGACCCTGCCATGACCTCTGGGAAAGGGCGTAGAACATAACTCAGATTTCCCATCAGAGGGGTGAAGAGGATGGAATATTAATCCCTTGGTAAATTAATTGATTGAGGGCTGTCCCAAGGGCCATTATTAGCTCCCTGACAATCCTGACCATACTTCCATGGCCCCGGGAAGCCTTCAGGTAGAGAGTACAAGACAAACACTTGCAACTAAAGCCTTTGGCAAGATTGGTGAATGTTGAGATTTGGGAGGGGCACTGACAGTTGTAACAGATGGATGATACCTCCACCATGTTGTCAAGGACCCTGGATCCTTCTACATTTTTACTCTGCCATCCTTAGAGATGGATGCAATCGTCAAGTTTCACTTGTGGTTGTAATTCGGGCACTGTGGTTCCTGCCATCTCCTCCAAATTTCAGGCAGCAAGAAATAGAAAATGACTTTCCCAGTGGCCCATCCACCATGCCCTCATTTGCCACACTTCTCTGTAGGGGACACTGAGCTATGTAGTTTTTACATTTTTATTTAATGACTTTATCATCTATCTATATCTGTCATCTATCACCATCATCATCATCATCATTATTATTATTATTATTATTATTATCATCTATCTATCTATCTATCTATCTATCTATCTATCTATCTATCTATCTAACCACATATGTTGTTGTCTATAACCATATAAGCAGTTCTGTTAGTAGTAAAGAAAAATATGAGAATGGATACTGGCAGGCAACTTACAGGCTTTGCCACTGTGACACATGCATTGGGTGGCACCAATTCATAAAGCATTTTTTGTTTTCATACAGCTCAGAAATTAACCCAGGTTGATGAAGTCTGATTCTATTTAAACTGTTTGGAATCCAGTTTAGTTCAAGTCTGTCTGGTTCAAGCAGAGTTAGTTTTACCCCGATTACATTTAATGAATCCAACTGGAAATGGATTTGATACAACTTGAAATGTCTTAATCCCCTTAACTCATTTAAAGCCAATTTTGCATGGGAAAAATTAGATTAAATTTAACCTCTTCAGGACCAGTTTGATTCGTCCTAATTTAAACTGGTCAGAACTCACCTAATATAATTTGAACTGGCCTGATTATAGTTTGAAGCAATTTTGTGTTTCTTCGCTTCAATCACATTCCATTTGAGCTACCTTGATCTCATGGAAATTCATTTCAATCATTTAGAACTGGTTTGATTTGTTCTAATTTGTAGAGGATTTATTTTATACAGTTTAACTCAAGGAAAATTGAATTAAACTTGCTTAATCCAACTGGATGTATAACAAAGTCCCCCTTTCAGGAAGCTTCTGGCTTTGGAAAGTGCAGTCTAGCAGAAGCATTCCAGTAAGGGGACTCTTGACCAGCTCTTCTGAGAAAACTTATCTAACAGCACAAAGGAAACCACAGGTTAAAATGAAGTCACAAGTAGAGAAAAAAGAGAGGTCTCAGTTCTCATTCTGTTGTCCACTCCCTTCTTAACTGTCATGAGACTGAACAAATGAAGCATTGGATGTCCATACCCTTAAACAGTAGCCAAAAGTAGAAAAATAATACAGGGTTCCTGTTTCTTGAACCCATTACTCCTGTAATTATGACAATTCTCATGGCCAAAGTCCACAAGTTTGAGGATCGTCTAATGCAGAAAACCAAGGATGATTTTAATGATAGCTAGCGTTCACTGACTCTGTACTACATGTCAAGTACTATATCAGCTAAGTACATTTACATGGTCTTATTTATATATCACAAAACCCCATCAGGTGAGGTTTATTATTATACTGATTTTACAATTGAACTGGAGGCTCAGATAGAAAATACAAAAATTCTTCAAGATTATCAAACTAGCGAGTGATGGATCCAAAAGTCAAATCTAAATCTACCTCACCCCAGAGCCCAAGCTCTAAACTTCTTCACTTTCCTGTAGTTATATGGAGAGGAAAAAATTACTTTGGACTAATCCTACCAATCTGATGGTGTCTGGCATCCCACAGTCACTTAGCTAACAAAAGCATCAAGAACTGGGTTGGTCTCAGAGGGCAATAGTTCTATCACTCTGTCATGGCCCCTTTCTCAAACTAGAATGTAGGAATTTTCTTACCTGCTTTCTTCCATTGAGGTCGGAGGGCAGCATTATAGAGAGGCTTTGAGTTGAAGTATTAAGAAATATTAAGAAAATTTAACAGGGACTATAGAAGAGGTAAGAATAATTATTTTATGAGTATGTGGCCATTGCTTTGTTTCTCAGGCTTTTCTGAGTTGCACAGCTACATGTGCAAATGCTCGGGTATTTCAAAGACATCTCAAACATAGAGTGTCCAAAATTAACCCCTGATTTCCTACCCCCAGCCCACATCCCTCCTCAAACCTGTACCTTTATCCATGTTTCCATCTCAGTGAATGGTGTCATTTTCTACCTGGTTTAGTAAACCAAAATTTATAATTTATTCTTGACACCCCTGTCTCCCCCTCTCTCCTACTATCCAATCTAGTAGCGGACATTGTTGGGTTTACCTCCAAAACATGTCCCTAATCCATTCATTTATCCCATTTCCATTGTCATGTCCAAATTCTAAGCTTTTATCACCACTCCCCTGGACTATAGCAATAGCCTCCTACCACATCCATGCAGGGATTCTGGGCTTTGTTCAATCTACTCCCCAAACTGCAACCAGATGAAAACAGAGAACTGATCACATCTCTCACTTTCTTAAAAACGTTCAATGACTTGTTTGCTGTTAGGATTGACAACTGCCAACTCCGTGAAAGACCATCAGAAAACCTGTAGGTCAAGCAAAGCAAAGTT